TAGCCGCTTTGCCGTCTTGAACTCGCCCAATGCTTGGTCTAGACTTTAGATATATATGTCGTTGGGTGACGCACTTCCAATCAGTTCTCAAAAATTTGTATCACATGACATTTTGCTGCCGCAGCGTGCTGCACATGAAAAGTAAGCTTAACGTTAACTTAACGAATCGTAAAGCTGATTTTTCATGTGCAGCACGCTGCGGTAGCAAAATGTCATGTGATACAAATTTTCGAGAACTGATTGGAAGTGCGTCACCTCACAAAAGATTTTTAACCAATAATAACAATTTGCTGCTGCAGCGTGCTGCACATGAAAAATCAGCTTAAGGAGTCGTTTCTAACCTATGAAGCAGTATTTTATTTTGACAGGAATTAAATCGAAAACTCAATTTTACGTAATGAATGTTCAGTGTGTTAAAAATATAGTCCTTGTGACTTTTAATTTGGCTGCAATTATGCTGCAATTATTGTGGAAAAAAGTTACTCTAAAAAAAAATATTAGGTTCAGTCAATGTTATTGGAGCGTAAGCAAAAAAATCATTTTTATACTTCTCTTTCTTTCTCTTCCAGTTTATTAAAAATAATGACCACGAGCAATTTTTTAAATATATTTGAATGACCGTCTCACAGTTCGAGAAAATGTTAGATTTAGTAAAAGGATCTTTGACAAAAAAAAAAGTATTTGTGAGCCTCTGTCAGCAGAATATCGCTTATGTATTACCTCGTAGTAAGCTTATTTTATAATACTTGTTTAAATCATTTAATTAGCTCGTCTGTTGTGACATGATTATGACACTAATATTTTATTTTATAGCTATCTTGCTCATGGTGTAGTATGCAAACTATTGCATGGAATTTCTATGTGTCTAAATCAACTGTGAGCAATGTTATTCGTGAAACTTGTAAAATTATATATAACGAATTATCACCGATATACTTGCCACAACCTACTACAGAAGATTTCAAACAGTATGCACAAGATTTTAGAGATTTATGGAACATGCCAAATTGTTTTGGTACAGTTGATGGAAAGCACATCGTCGTACAAGTGCCTTACAACAGTGGTCAATTTTTTTAATTACAAAAAAACGTTCAGTATTATACTGATGGCAGTTTGCAAGTACATGTTCACTTTTGTTGATGTTGGTACTTTCGGTTCACAAAACGATGAAAGTGTGTTCAAAGAATCAGTTTTCGGAATTTTTAGCTCTCGACAACAATGAACTGGGAATACCAGAAGATGCCTGCTTACCTGGAACTAACACAAAGTTTCCACATTATTTGATTGCAGATGAAGCATTTCCTTTGAAGAAATACATTATGCGACCATATCCTGGATGTAACCTGACCAATAGACAAAAAATATTCAATTACCGTCTGTCTCAAGCACGTCGTACCATTGAAAATTCTTGTGGAATTCTTGCCAGTCGTTGGCGAATTTTCCGAACAACAATCATCGCAGATGCTGATACAGCTGAGTGGATTGTGTGTGCTGCGTTGTGTCTGCATAACTACCTCCGGACATTAGAATTAGCTGACAATTCGGAAAATGCAACTTACTGTCCTACTAATTATGCCGATATATTAAGGCCTCTCTACACGGCCAATAATACTGAGTTAGTATTACTGATCAGTATTAATGACAGTATACATTAATTTTTATAATCTTATACAATCAGGTATTATTGATAATATTTCACTTCAGTTTGACGTGATTTGACGTATATTATTATCTATGGCGACAAGGATCTTAAGGAAAAAGCATGTATTTAAGTCCAAATCATCGTCAGAATTCTATGTAAATCCATTAATATTAACCACACACAATCAATAATATTGTCAGTATTCGTTGATACTGATAGTATTACTGACCGTGTACAGAGGCCTTTAGACAACGATGGAAATGTAGTGCCTGGAAATTTGAGACAAGATGATGTGAATGTCACTCTACATGATATAGGAAGAATGGGAACTAATAATGCAACTCGTCAAAATAAAACCTTACGTAACACTCTTGCCAATTACTTATATTCACCGGAAGGCGCAGTTTCGTGGCAAGAACTTTATATTACGAAAGAAAGATTAACAAGACAAGAGTCCTGAGTGTTCTACGACGCTGAGCATGATGATTCCTGACGAGCAGTAATTCATTTCGTTGGCTTTACCTAATACATTACATTATATATTTATTAATATAAACTATAACTTTATGTTTTAAAAATGATAATTTATTTCTTACAACAAATGCGTAATTGCAAGTCTTGATTATGAACTATATTAACACTTGAACATTTACAAACAACGCTATTAACTTAATTGAATGAACATATATGATTATATCATTTTGCAATAATACAAAGCAATACTTTTAATTAATTCTATTTAGTTCAGATTTATTATACTCTTATTTTTCATATAGCATTAATAATAAAAAAGGAAACATGTTTTTGAAGTGGTTCTCTCTCTTATGGTTAAATTTAAAAAGTTTATTGATATTTTTTTGCATCTTACGCTAATTTGTCTTTGAGTCAAAATCATATATATATGTCATAAAACACAACAAACTTAAATCGAGTAAAAGTCAAAATTGCACTTCTTATAATACGATAATGGAAAAAAAAACTTATTAATTGGAATCAGATTCCAATTCTAGCATTATAGCATTAATTCAACTTCGAGCAATTTTTTGTTTTTTTTTTGGTCATATGTCTTAATTGACTATACGTAGTCATACAAAAATTGTACGCAACATCATCCGTTTTATCGGCAGTTTCGCACAATCCTTTAACATTTCGTAAAGTTTTGGAAACTGCTTGAATTGCGTCATTATCGGCTTTTGTTGTTTTTTTTTATTTCTTCCAAAGTCCGTACTCTGTTTCAATTGAAGAGATAAAACCTTCATGTTCGGTACGTTTACATCATTTTCTTGTTCAGATTCATCCTTTACTTCAGCAAAGTCGCCTTTAAATCATGTATCATCTCAAATGGATTTACTTCCGGCTCCTTACTTTTTAAATATTCAGTAACATCAGCATGATCACATTGCAACACATCCCACTTTATTGATGTTATTAAGATTGTTTTCAGAGTCATCCGGTGGCAACAGGCTTTTCTTTAAAATATTTCCACGTGTTCTGGAAAAATAAACAACTATGTTAACATCATTACAATTTGAAAATGAAATTAAATAATTTGTAGATACAATATTATCTTGGTGTGTCAAGACTGAGAGTGTTAATAAAAGTAAAGATTTGATTTTTTTTAAAACAAATGGATTAATAACAGTCGAGCAGAGTTATAGAATAGCAATGTAAGAGGAAAATTATTTAGATAAACTAGGACTTTACTTCGCGCGACAATACTAGACTAATTGTAGGATTTAAATAAATTCAAGTGTCGATGAAGTTGCTGAAGATAAACAAAAATTTCTGTGCATTTTTAAATCAATTTTACAAATATTAATGTTTATAAATTCCTTAGACAGATCCAAACATCATCCATTATTTACTATTATTTTTTCATATTTTAAAAGCGAAGATTGCTTTCTTAATATTATTCAGTTGAGAAAGCTTTATATTGTAAGATTAAAATTACATATTATATACTTCCTGATTCGGACGTGTGAGTCCAGAAATTGTAGAGCTTGAAACATAGCACTAGGACTCTGCGCTTTTGATCCTGATCCCGACGGAGGACCTGCTTTCAATATACTTCGTTCTCTCGCACAGTTGATTCCACCGACTTTGGCAATCACTAACTATACAGTACAATAATTACAATACTTTTGTTTTTCAATTCAAAATAAATATATATATAATATATTATA